CAAGCCAAACGCATTCTTTAACCAAGCATCCTCCCTGACCCTATAACCTCCGCAAGCTTTGCGCAAATAGGTTTCCTGCTCGCAAGACGAGAGTTGATGTCGCCTTCAGACGCTTAGCTCGGCAAACTGTTTAAGGGTCGCACGGGGAGACAGCGAACCTTAGAAATGTCCGATCCGCACCAAAGCTTCCTGAAAACTCGAGGCAGGGCCACAGCAATTGCCTGTTTTCTCAGGGAATGATATTACAAGCTGATGATAAAGCCGTAGCAAAACGTAGTGGATGGCGGTAGCAGCAGTGGTGGTGGTGATAGTAGTAGCAGNNGCAGTCGTCGTTGTCGTCGTCGTCGTCGTCGTCGTCGTCGTCGTCATCGTAGTCGTAGTCGTAGTCGTAGTAGTTGTCGTCGTAGTAGTAGTAGTAGTAGTAGCAGCAGCAGCAGAACGTAGTAGCAGTAGCAGTGGTAGCTGCAGTAAGCAGTAGTAGATGCAGAGAAGCAGCAGCAGCAGCAGCGGCAGCAGCGGCAGCAGCAGTAACAGCGGCAGCGGCAGCAGCAGCAGCAGCAGGAGTAGCAGCAGTAGCATCATCAGCATCAGCATCAGCAGCAGAAGCAGCAGCAGCAGCATGAGAAGTAGCAGGTAGCAGTAGAAGTAGCAGTAGCAGTAGCAGTAGCAGTAGCAGCAGCAGCAGCAGCAGCAGTAGCCGTAGCGGTAGCAGAAGCTGCAGCAGCATAAGGAGTGCAGCAGCAGTAGCAGTAGCAGTAGCAGTAGTAGCAGAGTGTGAGCAGTAGCATTAGCACAAGCATAGCACCAGCACTAGTTGCAATAAGAATAATGATAGGAGTAGTAATAGTCGTAGCATTAGACTGCTTGCCTTCCACATCTCTCCGTACAAATTGCCACCAGAACCGGCGGCTGGGCCTCGAACGATGGCTGAATCTGAGCTGCCTAAGTGAAGCGTGCTGCCTGCAAGGTTAGGGGTCGGGGACGAGGAGCTTTACAAACTTTAAATTCGAGTCAGAGCTAGGAATACATAAGTTTAGAACGAGAGCGTCTAAAGCATTTGTAGGATTTGGTTTTGGGTTTATGGCTCAGGTTTAAAGAGGTTAGAGAATGAGATGTTAATTTGCAGGTCTATCCGGGTGAAGGCTCTTTGTGCTGTGTGCTGCAGCTAGAAATAGTAGAAGGATTTACTTGATTCCGATCCTGCGGCAGCACAATCCTGATCTTTCAGGTTTAGGTGTTGACCTGTTGAGATGTTTTCGTCTTCAGTGCTAGGCCATGCCCGCGAGGGGATTCAGTATGTCATGTGGGTTGTTTTCAGTAGCGGATTTTTTTGCAGTGGATCATGGGCCCGAGAGGAGAGTGTCGTTCTTGTGTCGGCGTGGCTGAGTTTACGTATGCGTGGGTGCAAAAATGACATGAACAGCATTGGCGTTCCAAGGAGCATTGTCCCCAACTGCCACTGTACATGATGTTCAGTATGATGTTTGTCAGCAGCACCAGTGGTGACTTCTCAAGGGATGGGTACAAGCAAAAGCTATGAGTACCGGACTTGATAGTGTTTGTGTGGCAAGCCTCTGGCTGGCATTTCCGACACCATCACTCACCATCGTCAAATTCATCACAGCTTTCTTGTTCCTCATTTTGGTGCTGCTGGGACTCTCTATCCGTAGCAAAGCTAGTACTATTCCCACAATTTCCACCACAATTCTGACAAACGGCCACGCACACACACTCACACAAGCTGCTGCAACTATAGCCTGATGTGCCTCTAAAGGATCCCCGCGCTCATGGACACGTCCTTAGTTGAGCTCCTTTTCATGTGGATCGCTCCTTTCAATCCTGCAAGGCTCTTACCATGTCAGTATGCCCAAAACATAGCATATCCAGGGAAGTGTTATGTTTTTCTCTAGCAACTGTGGAACACAGCATCTTTGAGTGCAGCATCAGAACCGGCTGTGTCTGGCTGCCCTGAGGAAACGCGCGCTCAATGACCCCAATGGCAACATGGAAGAGCACGTCATGATAGAGAACGCTTTGCTTTAGCAGTTGGATTTTGGCATGTGAGTCAGTGTAGGGCAAGGTTGTTCAGGAGATCTAGTGCATGAGGGCATGAACACCCGTGCTGCTTGATATTCCGTGTACCTCGTCATTATTGTGGGTTTAAGTAGCGTTCAGCTTCATTGTGCAGCGCCGAAAGCTGCGCCCAAGCTTTTGAGACATGAGCGCGGTGGATCGTTTGTATTCTGATTCCCGAGAAAGAACTCTTCGGGTGTACATAAGGGTCCCTGATTCTGAGAAAGACCCAAATCCCCAAACCCTAAACTCAGCTCTAGGCAAAGGCGCCTGGTGCCTGCAGCTGCGAAACTTCTTGGAAGTTGGTCAGGTGCCGCTACATGAGGTAGTCCTTGACAATGGATTTATGCGAGGGTATATTTTGTAAACCATATCTTCTGGGTGTCCACCACAAGAAAACCTGCCTGAAACCAGGCTGTGAGGATTGGAAAGGTTTTTTGCCAGCCTGATGTCAAACTTCCCAGATTTTCGGAAGAAAAACCTCTCTCATCTCTTAGGTGGACCGGTGGACCCCGCACCGTGTAATTGTGGTATAATAGCAATAAAAGAGGGCCCTAAACTAGTTACTGTTATCCCTTCTTATGGTCACGGTGACAGTTACAGGTTGGGGTCAGGGGTCCACCTAACCCATCTCACACAAGAGGGCCCCACATACAAATTCTTTTGGGGGGGGTGCTCAGAACTAAAGCCTTATTTGTGACGAGATGAACGAAGGTCTTCTACCCTCCCTGTCAAACCGGTTGTGGGATGCAAAAGCTCTTGGCTGGTTGTTCGGTTCCCAATACCCTCAGCAAGAGGCCTTTAGTCTTCTACAGGCCGTATTTGCAAAAGGGTATTCAAAACACGTGCATTGCATTCAGACAAGCCATGTGCATTAGATCTATAGGTGGCCTCTTTTAAATGGATGCGACCAGGCGGGGCAAGTGGATCAAGTGTGGCAAGTGGGGCAAGTGAGGCAAGTGGGGCAAGCGGGATGTGGGGCAAGTGGGGCACGTGGCCATGGACTTCTGTGGCGGCCGGTCTTCAGCAGGCCTTACTACTGCTTCAAAGGACTTCCTTATATGGTGCCCCCTTACACGCAACCATCTCAAACCCGGACACGCTCCCAGAATCCTCATTAGCAGCAATCTTATTGTGATAATGCCCTATCCTCATCTACATCTATCACTCACATTGTAGCATATTCCAAGGCCCAAGCCCCATGCTGCTCATCTACCCTATGATTTTAAACAGGTGCATACACTCCCAGATGTGGCCCCGCTGCCACCAGCAAGCGCCCCCGCCTCCGCCCCCTGCCCCGAGCCAGCTCAGGAGGACCGCCGCCCTACATTCTTGTAGGTAGTCCACAGGGCATTTTCCAAAAAGGTAGGACATCCAGGGTCTAGGGGTTGGAGTTTCATAGTTCAGGAGGTTTTAGGGTTCAGGCGTTTACCGCTTAGGATTTTGGGGTTCAAGGGTTCAGCCTGGATCACTGCTGAGGATTAGGGTTTGAGTCTTATAGTAATTATTCATCAGAAGGCAGCCGGTTATCCCAACGCAAATCTAGAAGCCAAACGATGAACTAAACGCCCAAGCCTCATTCATCAAGGAACCTTCTCTACCTCATATGAGCATTTCCCGAAACACTCTTGTGTAATCCTTTGTAGGAACCATAACCTTCTTGTGATCCTAATGTATCCCTAGGGTCTTTAGGGGCTCCGACCTCAAGAAACCTCCCGCACAACTGCGAGCAAGGACGCGGGCCAGATCCTCCAGATCACTGTGCCCGAGGGCGTCCTTTCTGGTCAGGGCCTAGCCGCAACTCGTAGAAACATTGATCCTTAGGTTAGAAGTACGGACCCCTAATATGGGCCCTTACGCTCTTTAAGGAGCTTCTGAGGGCCCTTAAGGGCACGTATAGGGTATATAGTAGGTATATAAGGTCCCAGGGTTAAGGGTGCATACTAGCGGCCCATGGTTTCAACCCTTAGATTGATGAGCTTCTCATGCTTCAGGGCGAGTGGGAAAGTGTAGAGTGTGATCAGTGCGCGTGGTTAGCTACTATAGCAATCCACTCGCCCAAACACCAGTCTGAGGGGCGTGGCTCCAAAAGGAAGACTTTGGGGTGTACGGCCCGAATTTCCGGAAACAAAGCAGATAGGTTATTCATGATAGTGATAATTACTGAGGGTGATAGCACGTCTTGCTACTGGAAGTACTGGCGCTCGCAGACCGCGCCATAGGAGATCGGGGGGTGACAGTCATCACAGCAGTACTAGCAAATCTTTTGAGCAATTTATCACATCATGGTAAGCCAGGCTTTGCTCTGAGTCTTAGTGTGAGTGATTACGAATACCCCCCTGTGCGGGGCTCAAGCATCAAGAGTGCAAACTGAGAGAGGGTGCACTGGACGCCAGAGGTCACTGTTCCTGATGGCCGACAGCTCGCTGTCACACTGCCCGCATCTGGGCTTGGGGCTTTGAATCTTCAATGCATGGGCAGGTTTAACAAGAAGAGGAGTCTGATGGCAATATCTTCAATCATGCTCGGTGGGGCATTGGTTTTACTTTCCATCACTACATTGGCTTTATTATGCTGACTTTATGTCGAGTTGTCATATTGAGTTGCCCTTCGCGACCTCGTCTTGGCCTGTTTTGTGTTTTAGGCTCATTCAGCAGGTCCGCGTCATTCTGTACCTCCGATGGGGCCGTCCCCGTCCGGCATCGAACCCATCAGACTGAACAACCCTCTGCGCCAAAGAAAGTTCATATCCTTACACAAAGTCCTTGTCCTCGTTCGGTAATTTCCCCCCATACCGAGTGCTCATTTTTCATGTTCAATTGTCTCTTCCATTGATTCTGCGTGGTCGGGGGTAGTGTTGAAGTTTAATAGCCTGGGAGTTCCCGGCGACATCCACTGACTTCTCAACTTTCACCCAAGATTCATGAACCTCAGAGCCTGTGCTCCCCAAATTCCTTCAGGGCTTGAACTTCGTACTCGCAGCTGCGCATAACCATGAGACCCTGAACAACGCACTGGCTGTATGAGGGGCATCAGCAACAGGATCCGGCTTGCGCAAAGAGAGCTTCAATCAGTGCTTGCAGGGGCTTGCACACGCATTGTTCCTGCAAGGACATGATATTGTTTAGTCCAAAGTAATTAAGACGTCAGAATAGGCCCAGAAGTACGAAAGCGGTAGCAGTCTTGCAAACGTAGGGGCATCGCCGAATGAACAACAAACAGTAGGGAAGGAAGCCCGACATAGTCCATGCAAAAAGTCCACGAACCCTCAATGGCCAGTATATTGGTACAAAGGGATTGTAGAGAGCTGTAGACATCCAAGGCAGGATACCCAGCAGGCTCACTTCTGGAAGTGTGGTTTGAGCCCGGCACGGGCACGCTCAGCCCATTAGTGTGACTCCGCCGCTGCCAAATGGTAGCAAGGAAAGATCAGCTGAGCCGTCACTTGGGCGGCTCCCTCACAGGGCGTGGGCTGTTCGAACAGTAGCGCTGACCACCTTTCTGTGATTAAACCTTGTAGCCAGCATGACCGAAAGGCCCCAAACACTTAACTTCGAAGGGTCAATGATCTCTGATATGTGAACGTTTGGTCCAAGCATTACAAGAGCTTGTGGTGGGCGTTGGAACTCATAGGAGTTGTAAAACGGATCGGCTTTTGGATTCACCTGTTTAGGTAGTCATACGAAGGTACTTCTAGCACATCCCAGCTTACCCTGCTAGCAGGTTTGTGGACAACATAGGACCTAGGATTTAGTATGTAGGATGCAGAACCCATGGCTCATGGTATTAGAAGGCTTCTAGGCTTCTGCAATCCAAATCTCTCAGTCTTGTTCCTTGGGCCCTCAGTCAGGCTAATGTTACTGGTGGTTAGTAGGGAACAAGGGAATAGAATCCCTGTAGCCCCCAGTAAGTAATGTTGTACAGCATGCCAAGAGCGCCTCAGATCCTGCTGTAACTGCCCACGCTTTCCCTGTTGAATCCTGTTGAAGTATGTTTTGCCACCCCACCGTACAGACGGTGCGCATGTGCCATAAGGCACAAAGAGCCTGCGCTACGCGAACAAGGAAAAATTCACAAGAATCATAGGGTGGAGGCTTTTCGGTTCCTGCGTATTGCCAGCCCTCACCTGAGTCGCCGATTGACATGGAAGTTCTCGTGGCTACTTCTGGGGCATTCTTGTTTTCGGGCTGGGTTGTGTGACAACCAGGCAATTTTATTCGATCCCCTACTAACTCTTGGTTGGGATCTTGAGGGGTTTTTGGATAGAGATGCTAAAGTTCGTTGGTGTACTGCTCATGAAGTCCTAGAGCAAGATGCGCCCTCGAACCTGTAAAGCCAGAAAAAACCGTGTGCTGCAGTCGCATCACTTCCCAAGTTTGATGTGCTATCGGCGTTCTGCGATTGCGGTGTTTCAGCCTGACGCAATGTCGCACAGCAACGATCATGATAGCAAAGTGTCCATCAAAATGAAAGAGACTGCTGTCTGGCAGAGCGATCGAACGTGGCCATAGGCACCAAATTGGGCATATCAAGTGCCACTCGTTCCCCTACCCTCATACCTCGGGCAAAACATTTGGGACAGACAACTGCTCAGGTGATGAAGAAAGCGATGATTCAGCAAGGCCAGGTAAGGTTTCCACAACGTTCGCACTGGATTAGGAACACCATGACAACCTCCCTACATTATATATTATGATGCTGTAGACCAAGATTACGCTCCTCAGGGTGGAGCATAGTTCGCAAGCTTAGTGTCGTCGGTTTGCCGGACCCGCGGTGCTACGCGCAAGGGATAATTGCGCCATAAGCCCTTGTTGAATGAAGGTGCCTTACAAATCATGCACGACGGATCCTGATGTCCTAGCCGTCCCCAGTTCCACGCTAGTATGAACACTGCCCCAGAGCGGGTATGGACCTGGGATTGGATGCACCATTGTTACTCGGATGAGATGATCATGGCAATTTCTTGTGACACTTTCTTGGGAACCAAGCCTAATTCCTGCAATGTTGGTTATGCCCCGCTTCAAACGGTGAAAGGTTGCATAGCATCAGCAGAGCTCTTTGCGCTTGGTTGCATACTTTACCGGTGGAGCATGCACAGTTGGGAGGTTGCAAGGAATACAAGAAGCCAGAACAACAATCATGCAGACAACAGCACTGCTTATGCGTTGATACGAGCTACTTTGGCACCCATGTGATTCTGAACGTAGGTAAGATTAACCCGGAGGCCAATCATTGGCAGTGAGAGGGAAGAGCTACTCACACGATGAGGCAAAAAAGGGGGCGGTCTGCTTCTTCACTTGTGTGGCCTGCGTGCTGCCAAAGGTTTCTTTTGCTGAGGTGGCTTCCTTCCCTGGTGCTTCAGCTTGAGTATAAAGGCTCACCAAGTATGAAGTTGAGTGAAGTTCTGCCCCGGGAAGGCCTAACATGTCCCATATCCACGAGACCAAGTGAGCATTGTTCCGGACTCAAGCTGGCTTGGCGATCAGGATTCTTGGAGTCCGGGGTGGATTCAAAGAAAGGATCAGGCTCCTTTGAGCCTTCCTGCAAATCATCCCGGGCGCTTGGGCTCAGTTAGATAGAGGTCCATGGACGATGACTTTTCAGGAATCTTACCCAGCCGCCTAGAAAACAAAGGAGTATTAGGGCTGGGACTTGGCAAGCAGTGTCAACTCAAGCAGCTGGAATCCCTTGAAACCACAAAAAAAGAACTGTGGCAAGACGCATACACCCCAAACGATGAGGTGTGCAATCCGTGGGCGGCGTATCTAGTAAGGCATCCATTGGATAAAGGTGCTTGGAACATGTGGTGTAAAAACCTACAGATCTGATCAAGCCCATGAAACCTAACCCCTAAACCCTAAATCGTAGTTTCCATTTTCCTTTCCAGTATCCCAACAGTACCCCAATCCGATTCCATTATCAAAAGACTTAGAGGCTCCTCAAAGCAAAGCGCCTAGCAATGAATGCACAGTGTTGGGGCGATGGTGGCTATCCCTGGCCAAAGCTCTTCTCGTGCCAGGAGCGCATGGCATTCCTCCTGTCAACGGGGTTTAGACTTCAGGGTGCTATAGCGATTATATAGGGCTTATATTCCCTTTTTAGGGTTTAAGGTTTAGGGTAGAGTTTAGGTTTCAGGGTTTGGGGTTTGGGGAGACCGGAGAACCAAGTGGAAAAGAATATGGACCATGAAATGGAAACTGGGCTTCTATCTAGGGATTGTATCAGGATATATAGAGAAGTGGAGAAAGCAAATGCAAACCATTACTCACATAGGACTTAGGGTTCACGGGGGGAGGGGACTATGGCAGCAACATTAACACCAACACGCGGCAACGGTTTCCATAGTGGCTCTGCGAGTAACAACTAAAATGCTGGGTGTTATGTGTAGTTTCCACAATTAGGGTCCCATTTTTATACCCCCAATTTTCAGGTGTCGTAATACCATCTATAGCTAAAAAGGGAAACCGTAAACCCTATATCTGCGGATCGTGCTTGCCTGCCTGTGTCCAGCTACAGGGATGCTGTCACAGGTTTTGGGGTTATGGGTTTCCCCTACTACCCGCGCAGCCCCTATACTACGCCCCATAGGTTCCCCCCATAAATAAGGTTACTTAGGGATAATTAGGCCTAATTATGGTGAATTAAGGGGAACCTAGGCAGCAGGGAACCCATGAGTTTGAGGTTTGTAGAGTCTATTGAATACTGAAGCATCAGAAAAGACAATGGAAGATAACATGAAAGCTGGGTCAGGGCTTGGTGTAACAAGCTGCCTGATTCCGAAGGTGTCCGCAGGCCCTCGTAGCCTAAACGCTAAGCCCGGATCCCTGATCCTTGATCAGCCCAAGCGATTCAATCAAGCCTGAACCACCCCCCAACTTTCTGACTTTTTTGATGGGAGACGGGATCCTTGTAACAATCCCCTGAGGGTTTAGTGATTAGGGTTTAGGGGTTTGGGCAGAGGGTTACTTCTGTTCCCTCACTAAGTCCCGAGGCAAACGGCAAGACCAGCTTCGAAGGTCTGGTCTTCAGAGGTTGACAGGTCCCCTAAGATGTGCCAACCAGAGAAGCTTCAAAATGATGACTAACCTTTTCCCCAATTCTAAAATAGGCCTGCAACGCTACTATTGCAATATATGATAACGAATGGACGAGTCGTGTTTACTATTTATTGGGGGAATGTCTTACGATGCTCGTATAGCTATAGCAAGCGGAGGGTCTTGCTAACCAGCGTAGTTATAGAACCTTTACTGCCCCCACCCAGGCTCTAAGAAAACCCAACTTCCAGGAATCCGATGAGGCTTGCTGCAGCCACTTGGAAGGCAGTGATTTTGGCAGATGCCATGCGCAGAACTACCGGCCGTCGTTTGGGGTTCACCTCATTTTTCGTAAGCACCTTAATCCCCATAGACCACTAGAGAATCGCAGTGTTCATCATGTTCTTTTCCACGGGATGCTCTGGCACTGGCGGCCAGACCCCAAACCAGACATAATCCCTAAACCCATTTACCCGAAAACCCTAACCCCTATTGCCTATATACAAGCTGTGTCGAGCTCTGGAATTGAAGAGCGGCACTGCCGGATCTCTGTGCAACTCACTCCGTACCAAGACCAAACAGTACCTTTAAGTGGGGTTACAGCGCCCCTAATGGACATTTAAGCTTGGGTACTGCCCGCACTTTGGAACAGTCGGACAAGATTTATAGATATAGCGTTATATATATACCCCTTAATATGACCCCTAGTATAGACTGTTACAGGGTGGGGGCAGTACCCAAACTCAAGCCATAATAGAAGGTAGTTGGTTGAAGTGCATGCAGATTTTGCATAGAAGCTGAACCCAAAAACGAATCCAACCTCATGTTGTCTTCCTTGTTTTCTGTTTCGACATGTGTTGAAAGCCTCCTAAATCTTCTTCGACCACCTGAAGCTCATCCGAGGAAGATGGCCGCAGCTTGTGCAGATTATGGCCGTGGGGGTGGATATGTAGCTACCCAGAGAGCCCAGCACTTGCAATTACACAAATATTTCCGTAGTGCAAACTTGAACCAATATGTTGTTGAAGCTCCATTACAAGCACGTAGTGCTGTGCTCTGTGGGCATGTGGGCTTGGCACGATGAGCATGCTGTAGAAATGTTGATGAAGCAATGCATGTCTCGGGAGGGTAGAGGAGTCGTGAATCCGCCACAGGTGGTATGAGGAAGGTAACCACAGCCTTCAGTCACAAATTCTTTGAAGCCCGCAAGCCCTACACAGTTACACTGCTGTAGCCTTATGCCACTCTTGCCAAATCGTTTCAGTTGCCAGTGGCTTGGGAGTGTTCAGCTACGCGGATGGCTCGGTTCACACAAATGGCCCAATGGCAGCCTCAGAAGTTGCGCTTCGATTTAGCGCACTCCGGAAGCCCTGCATCCTCTGGCAGATGTTTAGGATCACACCTCACAGGTCTGTCACAGGGACTTCCCCTGTTTAACTGTACTCACACCACATTTTTTTTTTTGCCTCAGTGATGCAGGCCTTTATGACATTCTTGAAGCCCAGCCGCAAGCAATTCATGGCTGTAGAGGGTTCAGAGGATGTTGCAATGTTACAGCCCATTACCTAGACAATGCGCACGCTTCTGTATTGCTGGCAGTGTTTGTTCGAGGCGGTCCTACTTGGATCCGCTGACATTTTTCCGATCTTAAGATTTGCAAGGTATGTCGAGGATGTGCAGATCGAGTCAGATGCGGCAGATGCCTCAGAAAATCAAACATCGTTGGCCCATGCGCGGGTTAGGCGTAGTTACGTAGTTTGTAGATGTTTGAGGGCTTGTTATCGTTGCGTTGCTTTTCTTCTCCGTTCGCCCTTCTACAGCTCAACTCCTAACCAAGTTTTAAGTAGCGGCCAGCTTGGGGACAGGATCGAGCTCCAGGTACTGCTGAAACCTTTCCGAGAGTAGTACTATAGCAAGGCTACCTATCGTTCGGATACTTCTAGAATGCAGGGTCCTCATATATTGAGAACTGATATCCAGAAATTCTGAGCATCATGCCACTAAGACTGTCCCAATGTTTTGAAAGGTTCCTTCTTGGTGCTGTAGAGTCCGTTTCAAGAGAACCTTTCAGGGTTCAGGGTTCAGTGGACACCAGGTGCGAGGCGCCAGCAGATCCCAAAAGCTGCGCCGTGGAAGTGCTGGCTATCTGAATGCTAAACCCTAAACCCTAGCCCAACAAGAAAGATCCCACAGACAAACATCCTTGTCGGAAGGTTCTGAAGGGTGGCCTTGAGCTCTTGGTTAGGGGAAGTAATCAGAGCTTCCCGTTCTACTGACCTAGAAGGACTGAACCTCTAACCCCAAATCCAATAAGATTGTATAGCCGCAGCTAGGAGTTGATGTAGTTGAGAAGCTCTCAGAATCCTTGAGATACTTGGTAGCTACTCAAAGGGCCATGGTTACTTTGAATGGCCATGGACGCTTGGGGCTTGCAGTCTGTTCTAAGTTTTTTCTGCTCCAAGATCTCGGGCGGCTTTGTGTGAAAGCCCTAAACCTGAAAGCCTACGCTCTACATCAAATAGACCATGAACTCTCAGGGCATTTTGGCCGGCAGTGACGAGGAACTGGGCATGCCGGTTATGGCAGCCAACCCTCACCTCATGACCAGGTAGGGCTACCAGCACAAATATTCGGGTTACATAGGGATAGTGGAAAAAATGGAGACTACAGGGGTTATAGGGATTATATAGGGGTATACTATAGGGGGTTACATTGGGATAATGAAAAATAAAAGGGAAAATACTATTACATTTGTTTGGGTTCAGGGGTTAAGCTTGTTTTTTTTCTGAGGAGGCGATTTAGATTTTCGTGTAGGGAGCAATGGGTGACTGTATGAAGAATGCCTGTAGGCCACGGAAGGTTGTGGCGAGATGTTTTATGTGGGCTTGTTAAGCATCATGTAGGGGTACAGGCAAAGATAAGCAGATAGATTTGGCTGAGGTGCGCAGTGGCAAAAGAATGGATGAAGTTGGCACTGTTTTACAAGAATGGCGCCCCCTTTGTCTTCGCCCCTGCTGAGGGGCTCCCAGAAAGGGACCCCTGATTTTTGAGAACCGGGTTAGTCGAAGAGCCAACCTTTAAAAATGGCACCAGCGCTTACGCGGTGCCTTTTGTTCGGGTCAAAGTACAAGAGGTGAATGCTCGAAAGTCTTCTCTTTTGCATGAAGGGTTGTCAGGTTAAGGAGTTCAGGGGTTCGCGTTTAGGCTTTGAGGCTTAGGGGTTGGTACCTCACCTGGCTCAACCAAACTGAGGGTCCTTGCTTGTTGCAAGTTTCTGACTTCAGCGAGACCGTTGCTTACGTGGCCATGCAGTTCCACTGTTGGGGCTTGGACATTCTGGCGCCACAAATTTGGCTTGACATTCATAAGAGTTCCTTGGAGGAGTGGATGAGACTGTCTTTCATGCAGCACGGGCTGTTGATTGCTTTTGCGGTGATGCCTGACACTTGGCATCAGCACTACGTGCGTTTCGGCGTGGCCCCCAGCAGTTCGGAGAGAATCCTGGGTTGAAAAAGAGGCTTAGGGGTTAGCTGTCATCCAGGGCCCTAAAATGGAAAAACAGCCAAAGATCAAAGTCCAAAGACCCACACCTTAGATCATTGCCCCTGGGTCTAAACCCTAAATCAAAGTCGTAAACCCTGAAGCGCAACCTCTAAACTCTCAGCCCCAAACCCTTAACCCCTGATGCGCCCGCCGAGAAACAACTCTGCCTGCTGCGCGATCCGTGTACCGAAGCCCCTGCACCCCAAAGCCAAGCCCCAACTCTAAACCCTATATATATATATATACATATCTATATCTATCTATGGCCCCTTTATCCCCTACAACCCCTATATAACCCCCATATAACCCTATATCCCCTGTAAAGGTACCCCCAAGAGCAAGCCTCAAGCGGAAGCGCTCCCAAAGGCGCGGAGGCGTGTCTGCAGAGCCCGCAGGCGCTAACAATGTGCGTCCCATGGCCTGCAGGGGCCAGTCTATGTGAGCCATGGTCTAAACTCCTTAAAGGGGGGATATAGGGGATCATATAGGGGACTACTATAGGGGTTATTAAGTCTATAGGGTTTAGGGTCTTAGGGTCATGATAGGAAATTTGGGTTGCGGGTAGTTGTGTTCTCAGGTTAGAAGCATGGACCCCTAATACTAATATGGGACCTTAGGCGTTTTAGGGGTGATTTTGAGGACCTTTGAGGTTACGTATAGGGTATACATTAGTTACACAAAGATTCCAGGGCTAGGGGCCCATTCTAGGGGCCCATGCTTGCAACCTTAGACTCTGGGGATTGGGGTGTTGGGTCTAGCGTTTAAGGATTAGTAAGGAATTAGAGTCAGGGATTTGGGATTAGGGTGAGGGATGAGAGTTAAGCGATTTGGGTTCAGGGTTAATGATTGAGGGACATAGGCTTCGTGTCTTCTCAGTGTAGGCCTTTGGTCCATTCCTCCTGTATTCAGCTTCCGAGCAGAATCGCTATGCATGGTATCCGGTCACCATTGTTGGCATAGCTAGGTCATCTGATTCTGCTAGTTACGACGTTGTATCGATCCTTCTGGATGCGGTCAGCACGTTCATTCCTAAACACTTGGCCTTGCATCAGTCTTTGGAACGCTCTTACCCTGCGTGCTGTAAGGGGCAAGGCGTCAGAGAAACAAAGCCTGAAGCACGGCACGCTTACCCGTGGACCGCAGTATTTCACCCGAGCACAAATGCCTGCAGCCCTGACATGAGCCGTTCTTCTGCGGAAAACTGTGAAAAGCACTAAAGCGGAAAACTGACATGAATTCAAAGATGCCCGAGAAAATGCTCAAGAGCTGTGTTCCACATGATTGCTCAACCACCAGCATCCACGCTATTGACGATGTCCCCGCATCCAGGAAACTCAGACCCTGTATCCTGCATATAACCCCAATATAACCCTATATAACCCCAATATAACCCTATATAACCCCAATATAACCCTATATAACCCCAATATAACCCTATGTAACCCCAATATAACTCAATTATAGTAGTTTCCATTGTATTTTCCATCATCCCTCGTGCATCTCTGAGGCTGGGCAGAATGGACGGCGCCGGTCTATGAGAAGTCCGAGGAGCATCGGATCAAGTTGCTCTCCGCAGTGAGGTCTCCCGGCTACAATTGCTGACTGCAAGTTAGTAGGGAACCCCGAGGAACTGATCCCTGTAGCTCTTTACAATGATGCCAACGACCCCAGTCCTTCATTCCCTACGAACCACCTGTAAGCTTGAGTGTCGCAGAGGCCCCTTACACAATGACACCCAGGTCTCCAACTGGCCTCTCCCAGAAGCGTAGGCCACAGATAGCATGCATTGGCCTTTGGGATGTTTAAATATTTTCCTTTATTGGTGTCATAAATACCCCGCGTACTGATGTTTTCAAAGGGCTCCAAAGGTTAACCAAGTGGGATTTACATTGTGTAGGCTGCAACTGTTGAATACGCAGGGTTATAGGGAGCCCCGAAAGCTTTCAGCCCGCTGGGCTGATGGACTACTCCCGTTCAGAAGCTGCGCATAAAGGTTTTCTGCTCCATCTTCAAGAAGTTACGCTAGAGATTCAACATTGGCATGACACCTCCCCTTCGATGGGAGTTTGAGATTACAGCTTCGCGCTTTCCAGGTAGCCATGCCAGGTGAAGAAGGATTTGGGGATGTCATCAGACTGGATTTTAGCGGGCATCGAATACTGACAGTCCTTTCAGCAATCCTTGCCAGAAAAAGAACAGAAACATCAAGAGGCCTCTCTGAAGCCAGCGGTGAGACTGCATCTGTTGCTTTAAGTGCATACTAAGAGCCCTCCTGCCCGGCTCAGTGCTCAATTCGAGAAAGTTTATGAACGGCTTGCACCTGAAACCGCACCCTTCTACAGCTTTCATTCTAAAGTTGACACCTCCAGCTTCCCAGGCAGCTGCTTAGAAGATTGATTGACGAGTTCTGGGGCATATTGGATTCGTGATGTCGTGAGCTTTCCATACTTACGTTGAACCCCAGGGTCTTTAGGTCTCGTAGGTTTTGGAGTTGAGGTTGCAGGCCTCTATGTGTGTCTGTGGTGGCTTTGGCACAGGAGGGCTGAGGATAAACAGGCATTTGAAATTGTTATCAAAGTGGGAGGGGACGTATTTCATACCAACGAACTCCGGTAGCCTTTTGGGGGCCGGAGCCAAGGATGTTGCCGATTTTCCAAGGCGTGGAGGAAGCAGCCCCTGGATGCATATATTGAAGGGGAGAAAACATGTTGATTTTTTCTTGAGAGGTGGGGATGTAGTCCAATTCAGTAGATAGAACATGGGGTATATTGGGGATCTTATTACAATATACCCGAAGCCTTATTCTTATCTACTTGCGGGGTAGGCTGCGGTAGTCTCCTACTATCCTTTGATAGGTAAAAAGGCCGCGACCCTTCTCGACATACTCCAGGTCCGGCTGTACATCAGGGAGCGTGCCTCTTAAGCTGGCTAGAAGGGTGTGAAGCAATGCGTTATGGGGACTCATATTACAAGTGCTTATATAGTGGCTGCTACAATCCGTTCCTCCATTCCCTACTAACCACCAGCGTCCCAACAATGGAGATACGGAGCTGTTGGCTTCCTAGCTTTGGCTCTGCCACCAAACTGCTTTGAACTGGAGCATATGATTTTCCTAATCATAGAGGCCTGCACGATCGATTGGAAGCAGCGCAGCCGTAGATCACACGAACGCCCCCTACTGCTGACACCGGACATCACTACCAAGTTCTCCTGCCTATGTGACCCTCTGGCACATGATAGCACCTACCAACAACTTCCTATACATGAGATGAGTGGAAGAATCAAACACCACTAACGAATCGCATGAATGATGTTCCCACTCCAGAAAGAGGAGCCCATGATTATCAGTTGACGTCCTGTTTTTTTTGGCCGGGCTGCCGAGTAATCCCCAAACATAGCGACCCCAAACTATGACCAGAACGCATAAGGAGTTGGTGTAGAGCAGCAGATCAGCAGAGCAGCCTTGAGCCCTTGATGCACCCTGAACCCTAAACCCTAAAGCGCAGCAACCCTGGGAGCCTAAGCCCCTGCGTACAAAACTGAGGACTTGAAAGCCATCGTCGATTCCGTGGAAGTTTTTAGCACCACGGCAGCCTTGAATACCGGCACTGGGAGTGTCAATTGGGGGTGCAGTAGTGCTTCGTGGCAAACTTTCTTCCAAGCCTTGAATCTCTAATTTCAGAACCTTCCAACACACTTTTTCATAACTCTCAGCCTCAAACACTCTAAAGCGTAACCCCCTACGCACTGACTGGATCCATGGGCGCTGGTTGCAACCGGGAGTGGGAGGGCTTCTTTGCAACTCTCATGTATGTCTGCTTACAAACTGCCAGGCACTTCTCCTCCCAGCGCTCTAATCCCTGGACCTCAAAGTGTGCAACTCCACACTCCTATGTCCTGGCACGAGCCTTGAACGCACACCCAACCAAACCTCGTGCTTTGCGCTAAGACCACCTGAATAAGGGAATATAATCCATAGAAAATATATACAGATACTTTTACTCCCTATAAGAACCAGCAAGTACAAGGACCAATTGTTTTGAGAAACTTAAACTTCGCTGTTTACCGACCCACAGCAGCCTTGTGTTTCCGCCGAGGCTTTCCGCCAAAGTCTACCATCTACACCAAAGGTGAGTATGGTAGGAGCAGCTCACGTGGTTTAAGGTTAAGGGCGCTTTGGGGCTGGGACTTCAGAGTTTGGTGTGTTGACACTGGGCTTGAGTCTGATGTGTAGGGTTAACAGGTATGATGACGGCAAGAGGAACAACACGGGCATGAGTTATGATTGAAGCCACAGTCAGAAAATTATGGCGGACATGCCGAGGATGTTGGAAGTTGCACACAATTCTACTCACATAAGACACACGACTGAGAAGAAGTATCATCATACGACTCCTTCTGAGACCTCAGAGCTCTTCATGGGGGGCTTCGGGTTTGGCAGAGCGATCCCTGAGTCATTGAAATAATTGTCAAAAACAGTGGCGAAGCGTCAGCCGAGCAGGGATCAAAACTCCTTTGAAGGCGTAAAAAGGACGTTGCCGTAAGCAACAAGGTGACGTTTGGAAGCTCTAGCGAGTGGCGAGAAAACGCAAACCCACACTTTTTGCCGCAAGCACCGAAAGCTCTGATGCCTTCGCCATTCAGGCTTAAAGAAGTCCAGTGGTGCTACTCCCCTGTGGCCCTATTGTAATTAAGTACCACAAGCCCTCTGAAGTAACAACGGCTGCCGGAAGCTAAAAGTTACGCGGCATCGTGACCACTGTTGTTTCTATAGTAGTGTAAGTATGAGTTCATTTCCAGAACGCCCAGCAAGAGACATCCCCATGCTCGTTATAAAGCTCCCCGTAATTGTCCTGCGTACCCCTCGTGAGGAAATGAAATAGCGCCCCGGACACCCATCTTTCAAACTTTCCACGAGGAAGAGGTTATATTATCGGATCAGTCTGCTACTACCCCTGGATTGATTGGAATAACCGCCCAGACGTGCTAGCGATCTGTTGGGTTTTTTGGCCTTGGAACTAGCACCTACCTATTGCAACCTCAGTAGAGTCTGCCAGGAGCGGATTCATTCTCATTTCTGGGCAAGTTGTGGCCGAAGAGGCTGACCAGCAAGGCGACGTCCTGTTCAGGCAGGGAGAACCCTTTACCTTTAAAGCCTGCATGTGCCAACGTTTGACCCACCTCTTTCCAGGATCAAGCAAGTGTAGGAATTGGGATAATCAAACCTGAAGCTCCAAGCCCTTTGCCATGTGCAAGACAGGAGATCTGCCAGCAAATGGATGACGCCCCTGAGCTACGTTTGACTTTGCTGCTATGATTATGATCAATTATGTAGGCCTTATACGGACCAAGGGCTTCAACGGGATCGAAGAGTTCGAAGGTATCCAGGCACCAGCGTGTACAAAAGCAA